TACTGTGGAATTCAGACTCAGTAAAAATCACTATCTGGCACAGTAGCGTGCAATTGGCAGAGTAGATTGTGGCTAACTGAATGAGTTTCTACTAATACTACAATTACAAGATCATCATGCACAACTTCATGATTTTTTATCAAAACAGATTTCGGACAGTGATCAACGATCTCCTGTTTAGGTTGTGTCTAGCATCGTAAAGACTGTAGATAATTTTCAAAGCTTTTGTCAAACTCATTCACAATCTTTGTATTATAATTATTTTTATAAATGCGTTAAGCAATGAGTTCTAACTATGCAGCATGAAAAATTAACATTGTTGAAGCAAACAAATGATACATTTATTGAATACGTATCACTTGCCATTGACCTATCAGTCGGTATGTCAATGTTGAGTTCAACCTTTAAAATTGCCGATTCGCATCGTCATGAGTGCATTGAGATTCGCATGAGATTGCATCGTCATTTCTATAGCATGTTTGCTTTGATCATCATGAGTCTATTCTTGGCTAAATTGTAAGGGCCGAGGTACATTTTTCATTCGTTCAACATTTTCAAATACCACGTTGTTTAAAAGTGAATTCTTCCTCATCAAATGGATGAAAGATGACTCTTGCATCCGCCTTACAAGACTTTCCTTGGAACAAAATTGTCATTGTCAAGCCATCAAAAAAAAAGTGAAAAGACATGGTTGCAAATCTGGCATTTGCAAGAATTTAAAAGTCATGATGTAACTCCTTCTTTTTCTTTGTCTTTCTTCTTCTTATCAGAGTCCAATTTAATAAATACATCTTCTTCAATTGACCTTTTGTTGTTCATTTGCATAATTTTAAAAGTCATGTTACCTTCTACTTTTCTTTCTTTTTGTTTGATTGTGGCAAAATTTTTGAGCTTCTACTCAAAAATCTTTTCACGTTTATTTCAAGTCATCTTGTTATCTTCCTCCTCTTCTTCCTCACCATCAAAATCACCGTCTCCTCCACTGGCAACATAACCAACCCAATTTCCTGCTGATGACCATAGCTACTATCTCATCTCTGCTATCTCGGTTGTTGCTGCAGTCGTTGTAATTTCTGTGATCTCGGAAAAGCCATCAAAGTGCTTGCGTTGAAACCCTACATCACGATAACGACCACTCCCATCGCGAACTCCGCCAGTTTCACTATCTACTCCATGTCCACTTTCGTTGGAGGCTCTCTGCTGCTTCACCGTTTCAGCTAGTGGAGTCTGTTTTGTTCTAGGAAGCAGAACTAAAACCTATGCTCGAGCAGGAATCTATTGCAATTTCTTGGTAACGAGCTTCTTTGCAATGGGAAGACTGAGTGGCTCTAGCGGGTTTTTCAATTTCATCTTCTCCTAAAAAATCAAAATAGTTGACGAAGACATGACTTTGCCGTTGGCATGCAATACGCCTCCTCAGGCTTAAGCTTTCCTCTCAGTTATGTCTCCTTCCACTTTCTCATCGGATTCCGCACTGTTACTTATCCCGGCATTCTTTTCTGTTATGTTCCACAAAAAAAAATTATTGTGTTCGTATGGATGGAGTTTCACTAAGAGAAATCAGGTATCTCTTTGGTCGGCTGTGTTTACATCGTGGCTGAAGCGTTAAGGACCTACAAAATGCGAGGCATTAGTTGATATAAACCCCTATTGTTAAGACTAAAGTGAAATCTCGCACTTAAGAAAAAACACCAGATAACATTGAAGTGAAGCATATTGATATCAACTAGCAATACATAAGACATAATGTAATTGAGCTTCTGAAGAGCGATATGAATCCAATTGATGCATTATTGATAAGAATCATTCCAGATAAATCTTCAAAGTTTTATAAAAAATCCTTGAATGAATAAGACCTACTGACATCCTAGAGGTTACGGCTTGATTCGAGATTTTCCCACTACACTCTCTTTTCATTCATCGAGGCTTCCATGAAATAGTCAGGAATTGTTTGGCCCCGCTACAAAGGCTGTTTTCGCATGAGCATCACTGACGGGAGAACGTTCCACGACTGTAAACAAAGCCTTTTCTGAAAGGTGGCAGTTTGCCATCAAAATCAAAAATTATTGGCAAAAACGGAGGCCGATGGGACTACAACAGACACGCTCGCACACACGCCACGCACACGGCTCCGATGGTCTCCAATACTCCAAACCACGGTTCTCTGAAGAAGCGATCTCTTCGTCAGATTAAACCAACCCCTGCCTGCCACGTAGCAATCAAAGAAAACGCACCAAAATATATAAATGCCCGAGTAGCCATTCACCAGGCCACGTGGTGCGCCATGCTGGAGCTGACTGTACAAAGGCAGTCTTGAAATATATGTTAATAAATGTCGGGAAAGTCCACGACAGACATGGCAACTGCATGCTGGAGCTGGGATTTGCGCCGAGATTGGGTGCCCATTCCGGCGCGGATCGGAAAGCTGCGAACTGTGTAGCAGCATGTCTGTGAGTGAATCTTTTCATGTGCCAACAGCCGCTTGCTTGCGTCGCACCGTAGTAGTCAGGTACATGATGTCGTTTCGACTGCGTCACGATTCATGGTCGCAGTTGTGGTACAAAGCAGGTACTATGTGTCGTACCTTGTGGGTCAATCCAGAAAAGGAAAAAGGTGCCAAACATACCATTATTTCATCCGATGAGAAAGTGATGAAATGAACTTATACGATGTGTCAGTATCATTAAGAATTGATTTCTAAATTTTTTAAAATATTTAAAGCTTATTAACAAATAATCATTTGAGAATATGAGCATGTAAAGTGATGAGTATTCTATATGTCATTGGCAAACATCTCTATCGTCTTTCGTACCGGAAAATCCCCAACAAATTGGTACGAAATATCTAAAAAATAGGTGAAAGATTTTATTTTATATCTTTTCACAGTTCCACACAAACCTGTCAAATTAAAATCCAAACACTAAATGTTGAGATGATTAATAGAACAGATATGGAAATTTTTTAAATTATATGTCATCTGAATAGATCTTAAGAAAGCTTTGGGAAGAAAACCAACCTGAAACTAGTTGCTGGACTTCTATATTAGAATGAAAGAAACACATATAATATCATTTACGTAATCAGAAATATCTGAAGAAAATGATATACAAATGGGAACGAGATGAAAGTTATAATCAAGTTACAATGCAAAGGCTAACAAAGGTACGACAACCAACTTCATCCAACGACTCTCTTCCTATACTCCTCTAATCGTTCGCTGCATGATACTTCGCGTATAGTTGATAAGGGTTTTAAGAAGCAGATGATCTGTGTCGAAGTGTATTTGTACGATCGCTTACATATTTGCATGCTATTACCATGGCCCTAGTTAGAGTAGTTCGACTTGGAATTGGCGAGAATACATGTGAAAATTGCCATATTTGTCAGAGCTACAATCCCTTTGCTAGAATTGAATGAATTGCAAAGATAGCTGTGCTGCAACCAGTTTGTTCCTATGACAACGTCTAGTAAACTCAAGACAGGTCTTAACTGCGCTGCGGTCTAGCGTTTTCTATAGTGGAGTAGGTTACTGACTCAACTCGAATTTCCACTTCGGGTCTTTAGGCTCAATTCAAGCAACAGCCTTTACAACCTAGGGATCTGACTACCTCGACTCCACAGGTTGAAGTGTTCGTGCTTAAATGTCGAGATTGAGGTCTGCCATTTCCCGCGTTTCAGTCTACACATGTTTTCTTCGTTCCGATGACAAAATTATTCTACACACGCTAAATTTACAGTACCGATTATCAATGTTCACAAACACATTGTTCCGCCTTTAAGTCGAGGGCAGCAAGGAAATTATCTTATTTCTTCCCGCTTAATCTCTGTAGAAGTTTGATCACAACCTAGTTCCTATATTTCATGCTATGCATAAAAGTCCACTTTACGTTCTGGGGCAGTTTCGGCCTCAGTTCTTCGCCTGGGTAGTCTATATGTCCAGTACAGGGTATACATTGGACTACACGAAAGGTAATTCCTCTGAGCGGAAGCACGACCAGACGTTTGTGCACGAACGAACACATTTTATTTATGAACAACGTCACCAGAGACAACATATCACAGACTAGCTGGACAAGAGAAACTACTCTTGGTAATAGGATTGTTACCAGTGCCGACTTCAATCTAATGTTGAGTTTCGCGTATTCATCCCGCGCCCATCTGTGACAACCGGAAGGAACTCCCTGACCCCTCGACAACAGTAAATGTTAATAAACTTATTCGCAAGCGTACAATGAAATAGAGTACCAAGATTTCACAACAGAGTCCCGCTACCTGGTAAAAGTACTAGTCTCTGGACAGATATTCCCTGTTACAGCAAATTTCCCCTATGTGCGATGTAGAGCTATAAAATCTCGGAACTCTAAAACCCTGTCCACAGGGTGACGAGCGGAAAGAGTAGCTCTGCTCCGTATTTACTATCGCCACTTCTACTACACTGACAGCTATAGGGGCGGATACCTCTAAGATAAAGAAGGGCCCAGATAGTTGGACTCAAAAAAGACAGAAGCAGGAAACCAAATGCCCCATTTCAAGACAATCAGGTTCTACAACCATACAGCGACAATTACTGATGACATAACATCCTTTGGATTGGTTTCAATTTGCTGCCATTGTTAAACTCCTGACGTTAATGAGGGGATGGATATACAATATCGAAATTATAGATAGAACACCCGATGAACAGGCAAAGAGAGGAGAGCAACCGCATCATTGCAAGCTCATTCTGTTCTACTCGCACAAAAAGACACATAGTGATGGTAAATCATCCTCTGGATAGCTGAACACACGATAAAAGGCAGAAACGGAAATCAAACGCTCCATGGAAAGCCTTTTCTGTTCTGTTCAATCTCATTCCCATACACGGAAGTACTGATAGTTGAATGATCGTACTCAACACACCAGATCCGTGAAAACGCTGAAGGCAGATGTAAAGTATGCAATTTATATCGTCCACGTAAACGAAAATGATGAAGGTAGGCATACAAGTATGCAATCCATATCCTCCAAATACAATGATTTATTTCTCTTTTAACAGACGATTAACACCTCTCCTCCATTTAGTATCAATGCTACTCCTTGCTACGAGGACACACCCGTAGCAACAAAGCAATACCTTGCTCTGTGAGCAACGAACATGACACTGCATAAAAGCTACAAGAATCCTCCATGACCGTAACATGTTAAATATACAGAGCAATATCATACAAAACACATAAATGAGAGAGCATCTTCTTGATTGTGTACATTGCCCATCTTGCGAAATGATTTGACGACAGTGTTGAAGGTGGATTGAGGCAGCTAAGATGCCCCGTTCGCCACCACTTCACTGGAGTCTTTGATTTTGTTCTTGAGCAAAGTAGACATGTTTTCGCCAAACTTAGCCCTGGTGTGAGGAGACACACCCTTGACGCTGAGCATGGTACCGACAAGCCCCGCCCCGAAGACTGGATTCTTGACAACATATTCTGCTTTCTTAGGGATAGAAGAATCGAAGGACTGTGAAATCTGTCACATAAAGAAACAAAGTGACATGATATCAAATGCTTTAGCTTCATACATTGATAATCATGCTGACACATTGATGAGACATTTCACTTCCCAAGCACAGTTCTTTCTTGCAGCAAACAGCGACCTACTTCGAGAAAGTACTACAACTTGACATGTAGGGGTAAGAGTGAGATACCGCTGGCACACTTAGAACAAAACCTTTACTATTGATTTACCCACTGTGTCTTTCAACGGGAAGGGCTCGAAAATTCCTTTGCTAAGATCTCAGCACTAAAATGAAAGTTCTTACGGGTGCAAAATGGCATCGGCCACCAGCAAGGACCAAACATACGCGCATTTCCATTCCGGGACAAGGCAAAGGAACACGTTGCCATCTATAGGATGTGAACGTGGGAAAGGTCATATAACCAGTCGAAAAGCAGATACGTGAACACCGAAAATATGAGTTGAGAATGTTGGTTGCACACCTCAAGGCCACTTTTCGTTACAGCGAAGAAGATTGTGGACCCAGGAGGACAAGTTTTCTGCTTGAAAAACTCTCTGTATTCTTTCAAAGCCAGCTCTTCAGCTTCGCCCCACTTATTTACCTCCTTCAAGCTCATCTCCGTTGTGTCACCCGACTTGCCCGCATAGTCCTCCCCTGTGAGGGGGAGTAGCATAGTCACTCTTGCTAATTTGTCCACAGGCGCTGCACATGTAGCACAATCGAATGTACACTACGTTAGTCCGAGGAAAGGAGCGAATACGTGCTGAAGGTCGGTTACGACAGCCCAGACCCTCTTTAAGCTTGAAAATACTGAAGTGACCAGACCAGACCAGACCAGACCAGAACCCATGCCCAGCGGTTTAGGTGTCGCTTCGAGATACGTGAGAAAATATATCTGAAGCTCTCAATAGACGATTCTGAGTCCAACTCGTTCACTAAGTCCGAAGCTCTGTACCTAGAACTGAACCGACTGCTTTTGAAAACTCGATTGCAAGACACCAAAGGACGGTCCGTGATTCAAGTTCACTGAAGTTGGAAGCCAATTCAAGAAGGAGATGACAAAGTGCCGTGCAAAGACAAGAGAGCAAAGACAGATGCATAATCTACACCGCAGGACGAAGAATTCTAACATCCTGGATAAATGTTCAGTTGGCATAAATTTAATTTTTTCCTCACTATCAGTACCCACAGAGGAGGTAGACAGTGAAATTTTCCACACTGAAATCAGCTGTCTTCTGCGATACTGTCACTCCATCGCTAAGTTCGGATAATACGAACTGAGAAGTACACAAGAACAATGGGTTAGACCGTGGTCGTAGGAATGCTAACAGCAATGTCTGCTTTCACGCACATTCCGTACTACCACCACATCGGGCATTCATGTGTAGGGTGGGGAATCATAGTATGTTATTTAAAGATTGGAAGAGACTTAAAGTTGGGATATCTACGAAAAAAAGAAGCTTGAGTTGTGTGTAAAAATATCAATATCTTTCTTTCAAACACAGAGAAGAATAGAACCAGCTTTAGCAAGATTGGCTATAGCTCCTGATGATTTGGTCCTGGCGAATACAACCTCCGAAATGACAACTTACCCATGACGGAGGCAAGACGGTATATTAAATGCACAAACAGTGACAGTGAGGAAGCTGAATTTAAGCATGATAAGCACAGACCTCTCTTTCTATCGAGATAGTTAAAAGGGGAACAAAATTCAAGTAAGAACTATTCAGGTTAGATGAAAGCATTACTTTACACTGAGAAAGTTCAAGGTACTGGATGAGATTGGATGAAATAAGGAGTTTGCCTGTCAGATGAAGCTCTGTTTGGCGACGCTATCGCGCGTCACTTACTGCGTATATTCAATTAAGAAACCCTTAAGTGTGAGTGTATGGTCGTTTCATATGAACCAAAGAGAATGATCTCATATAAACGGCATGTATCGAAGACGAGTGCGAAGTACAGATTAGAAGGAGCGTCAAGGAATCTGGGTTAGGCACCTACCACCAGAGGAGTCGACAGCCAGAATGCAAGGTTCGACAAGAGCGGTATGGCACACCAGAGAAGGGACGGGGAAATATTACTTCCAAACTGGTAGTTCGAGATCAGAGAAAGAACCTTGTGATGAAGAGATGAGTCCGAGATCACCTGCAGGTAGGACAGGACCTGCCCACAACTTATGAACCCTGTGAATCTGCACCTAATATAGAAGGAAACTGTAACAGGATATGCTTGCGTCAAACCACATCAATTTTGGTTCGCATTCATACTTCGTCAAATTGCCCCGTAGAGATGCTCAACAACAGTGCGAGGATCACTTCAGTAGGGGAGAACCTACACACAACGTATAAATCTCCACCTAGTCAAGGAGAAACCTATGACATGATATAGTTGCTTTCCGAGGAGTCAGACCACATCCATTCTGGATGGACTAGCCTCGCCAAATTGTCCCGTAGAGATACTCAAACGGATTCAACGAAGAAACAAGACGATCATTATACCTTCTGAAGATACTAACCAGTAGTGAACAGAAAGACACACGACGGGTGTCGTCAAGTAAATCATCAAATTGGAGTTAGTGAACGAAAGCTATGGTTCCAGTGCACATGCCTAGTTCGGAGTGTTCTGGTTATTAATCGATGAGGAAAAGTGAGTCGATTCAAACATATGGCCTTGGTGATAAAAATGGGCTGGACTGAATACGAGAGGAATAGATCTTCACATAGCGAGAATGATCCTCTCTCTTACGGATCTTGATTTTCAGGCAGAATACAATAGATTTCTAGTTCGTCGGCAAGCATAGCACGTACAGCTTTCAGATGTATAACTCTCGACTTCTCGGAGAGACATGTACAGGTTTCGAACGGTGTTTCTACGTCTTCACCTCAGCCAATGTCTGTTCGTTACTATTCAAGTACTTGTCACTGTAGACGTGCGCAAGGAAGTAAGATATTTGCGTGCTGAGAGGCACTAGTGACAGTACGGTTTATCTCTACGACGAAGGATGAGATCTAAGAACGAGTTGATTTGTACTTGACTGACAAAGAAGCGCATTTGTCAAATCATCTATGCTGAGATTCTGCTCGCAGTCATGATTCCCAGCTTCATTATGGTACACTCTTTCTAATGTAGGAAAGGTGTTGATTCCTCGACATGTATTGCTAGAAACTGGAGACGACAACTTCACTTTCTACCCATCAGCCTACTAATTTCTCATCCAGCGGAAGACTATGACAAACTCCAGCAGATACTAGAGAGCACGGCAATGCGAATACACATCTAAAAGTCAGTCCGTGAAGAGTCAAATTTTGAAGAAGTCGTTTCGAATTCTCCATCCGCATCTGATTCCAGGATTTCGTGACATTACAGGTCAATTAAGGCCCGATCAATACTACAGCATAACATTAGGTCTAACTACTTCCTCACGCGTTGTCTTCAAATTCGTAATGAACTATTTCTATTTTGAGTTTAGGCTTCATTCATCCAATAAAAGATACTTCGAGGCACAGCATTTCAGGTGGAGAATTACTACCTTCGAGGAAAGCCAGCAGAAATTGATCATCTTTTAGAAGCTCCTCAGCGGAGAGGCCATCGTATTTAGAGAGATGGTTCAAAACTTCAAGATTGGTGTAGATTCCTAGCACCGTCACTTTGAGTTCGACTCCATGAGGCAGTCTGACCCCTCTGACACCTGCCAACGAGTCGAGAAAGTATGAGAGCTAGGCCATCGAAATAGATTCACGACTTCGATGCCGACATCTTCTGCACAGTTAGCTTTCCGCGTGACCAAGTTGGGAACGTTTCGGTAATTACATTCAATTCTCGTTCGAGAAGCCAGATTTGTGAGGTTGAGGAGTAGGACTGGTTTGGAAAGCATTACCGGCGCCGACGAGCGAAAGCTCACTGTCCGAACCTGGAACCAAAATCGTCGACGTAACCTGCACACCTTCAACTACTGTAACTTCTGAAACTTCAGAAACTTCTGTGTTCTCTACTTTCGGGTGCAGTCCGTTGGCAAGAGTCTTTCCCTGGGCCTCGGCTTCGGCTGACACCGAAACGTTCTCCACCTTGGGGAATTCTGCTGCCTGCGATTGCCCTGCCGGAGAAGTCACTTTCGAATGCGTAGACTCCATTGAAGAATTTCTGACGCCTCCACTCCCTAAGACACAATGTGCAGTCGTTAGCATAAGAAGAAGGGTATTATCCACCGTCCTGGCACGCATGCAAGAAGGAGGTCGGACGATGATGTTAAACAAAAGTGCTTCAATATGATCGTGCTCAAAACTACTCGGATGGAATAGTCGAACATCAACCAATCGCGCTGAACAAGAACATCCAAAAGAGGTGCACAAGAGACTCAATTATAGGGCGTTTGTCAGGGAATTTCTAGGTAGACTGTAAGGCGTAGTCCCACATTTCGATCGGTCTGAGAGAGTATTGACCCTGAAGCTTGTCTGGACTCACAAACTTCGATTCGTGAGACGAATTCAGGGACCAGAAACAAGGGTCAGAAGACTGGAAGCAGGCGGACCAACGGTAATAAACTGCATCTCGTACCTTGGTCTTAGATCTCGTAGCTCGAATGATTGGCAGCATAGACATGTACTGTATTGTGTCTGCATGGACGTGGAAGCTAAGGCGCGCAATCTGGCAGCTGTTTGCGGATTGTGACAGGGAAGACCAAGCAAAGCACGTGGCAACAAATGTCCGTGCAAATATTGCCTAACTCCTTCCACTGAAAATCTAAGGTACCAATCAGAGACCGTCGGACTTTTCCGGCCAGCAGTAGTAAAGACGGTCGGACTCAAACGAGGCCGAGTCCAGCTGGACTGAGACAGCAGAGAACAACCTCGACGCGGAGAGTTCCAGCTGGAACCAGAAACCAGCTCTCTCCAGGAAGTGCGTATTTCAGCTCTTCAAGTGCATTGTGCGTTCTGAGCGATAATACAAAAACCCATTCCAGTTCGCGGCTCAGAAGGTGGATGTTTCACGAGACACGGTTGCTAATTGCAAAGCACGAATCACAAACAAGTCAATGCTACTCAGTCGACCTGAACGGGCAGTCAGCCCACCCCGTGGTGATGGTGAGTGATTGTTGCCAGGAAACCTGTAAACTGCGCGACCCTCATTATCTCCGTCACTACTTTCCCAAACGAAGCTCGAGTCCAAATACCTCATGAACATCGAAGCGGAGTCCATGCGACCATAGAAAAGTCCGAATCCAGTGCGACATTTTGGAGTTCCTACTAGCATCGATCATCTTGCAAGGTTATAGTGGTAAAAGTAATCATAAGTGTGAAGATGGTGTTCGAAAACTCGCAAGACAGTGAGGCATTGCTGTCATATCGGCCCGGGTTTAGCTTCACATCTCGGAATCCCCTACAGAAGACATACCAAGTGCACCTGCAAGCTCGCTGGCTTTACAATTCGTTCGTTACGACCTCTGTTTCCTTTGTGTCAATTACAAAGAGTAACGCTCGCGCGCTGCGGTAATGGACCTCGAAAGCAAGACATGCAAAACTGCAGATCGTGGAGCAGCAATCGGCCGGAAGAGCCGATGCTGTCCACTTGACGGAGCTCCAGAACGCTGCATTGCGACCGGCCTCGAGGTGGCAACGAAGCATTCCGACAGCGGGCCGCAATTCGGACTCAATCAGCAATGCAAGCCGGAACTCGGACCTGACACAGAAAATGTGCGCAAGCAAGCAGGACGACAGTGGCAGACTGGACGGAAGAAGCAGACCTGCGAAAGAAAGCGCGGGGGCTGCAGCTCTGACCGCGCCTCGCTGCTGGCTGATGGCTGCTCTGGCTGCTCTGGCTGCTGGCTCGCAAAACTAACGCAGGCAACCAACGCACGCACAGGAATTATCGAGGTTTTCCTTCGGCCTGGACAAGATGAAATAGGCGGACTCAAACTCGGAGCTCGGCTTAGCGGGGGCGACACAGAAATCGACAAGCGTGCGAATTGCGGATTTCACGCATGAGACAGACATTCATTCCTCCTTTACTCCTCTCCTCCCGTCCTCCCTTCCTCCCTCGCTCGCTCGCTCTCGGCCTCCGGCATATAAGACGACGGGGCAAAATCACAGCCCGGCCTAATGCTGACGTCGCCCGCTAATCCACCAGAATTACACTCGACAACGACGCATGCTCGGGTCGATGTACTCCAGGGACTTGCTATCCTGGCCGCCTCCCTTCCGACACACGGACGACCGAAACGAACCCAGCGCAGGAAAAGCAAAAGACGCCATAACCAGCTCCTCCTCGCGCACTTCAAGGCCTCGCCTTGCCGCCCTCCTCACCACTAACTACTCCCACTACTGCCCAGACGCTCGCGCCATCGCCCTCGTCCTCGCCCTCGACGACGAGGAAGACGTTGCCCAGACGCTCCTCTCCGCTGCGACGGTCGCCGGACGCAGGGACATGGCTCGCCCTAAGCCATTCCCCTCCGTCGCGCCGACTCGTCCGGCCGGCGAGATTCGTCGCGGTCGATGAAGAGCCCACAGAACGGGAAGAAAGGGCTCCGCGCCAACTGTCCCGACGAGTCCACGTCGCCAGCGACGAAGCGGACTTGGCACCTCTAACGCGGCGATTGAATGATTGGCACCTCCGGCCTCCGGCCCTCGTCTCGTTCCGCCAGTCGCCCCTGCGCAATTTATTGTTCACTGCGGTAATCAATAAATTATGGCGCCAGACGCCCCCTGCCAGGCCTGCCGAGTACTTTTCGGCCCCTACTCCTGCTGCCGCTTCGCCGACCTTTTCCCAGCAGCCCTTCGACGTCGTTCCCGAAAAAATAACCCTCTCCCCTCTCGACAATAATTATTCGACATGGAAAGAAATCTCATCTGGCTCCAGGATGTGTCATTTTCTTCGACTTGCCCGGAATATTTTTGTAATACATTATTTATTTTCATTCGGAAATAGGGAGCATGTCTGCGGAACCGACCCAGGGCGGACTGCGACTGCAATAAATGAGAGACGGGAGCGCTTCCGAAGGTCGACAAAGTTTTAATCTGCGCGGCCCTCGGAGGCTTGCCACGTGGCCGATTATGAATTTGCGGGAGGCGCGGCGTCGTGCTAGCCTCCAACTTTTTCTCTTGCCCCGAGCCTGGAGGAGACACAGGCGGTCACCGGGCCCTCATGACCCGTGTTCTTAGGAACAGCAGTCATTCCGAGTGTTGTGCCTGATGATTGAAGAGCATGTGGAGCGTAATTCTGTGTAATACTTCGTGTGATTATTACATTTTCATATCTCCTTGATGTTATTATTCAAATGCATATTAGACTGAGGATTACTGTGTCTCGTTCGAAATGGTATCCTTTGATGATACTTTAACAGACTAATTTTTTTCAAGTAATATTAAAACGCATGAGAGAGATATGAACCTGACTTCGCAGAATCAAAATGACAATATGCATGGGTTGTAGTTTGCAAAACTTGTTTATGGCTTGATGCTTTTACTCCTACGTAGTAATAAGCAGCTGCATGAGTAATTTAATTGGAAGCATTTGGAAGCTACATCAAGCCAATAACCTGGCAGTGTTGTTATATTACAGTACAGCACTAATGTAAGCTCTTCGATACACATTAATCTCATACTCATAGAAAATATTCATACATTTTCGTGGACATAGCATTATTGAGATTATTATGTATTTATTGCATTAATTTTATTTTGATTGTATTTTTTGAGTATCTTGTCATATTTTGGACCAAACCATGAAAAGTAAATGAGCCCAACCTTGTTTCCAATTTTAAACAATTTTAATATATTCATATATTAATAAACGTAGAATATGATTTGCCAACGATATAGTGGACTTGCAATCTATAACTTTATGAAACGATCTTTTGGAATTTTTAATTTAGCACAAAGTGACAAAAATGATGAAACAATTTTATTGACTTTCTCCTTATGAATGTATTTAATAAGTGATCATATCTATGATATCACTTTGTAGCGATGATAGGTTTGATAAATTTTAAAGAATTTCAAGTAATACATATTTTCAGTTTACACGTCTTAAATGTTTTGTAATATTATACAAAAACTAGATGATGATGATTTTGATATTGCTACAAAAGTATATAATTCTACTTCATAATGTAATCCATTTCAGGACTTCAAATCTAACATAGGTCAACAAAATTCAAATAAAACATGCAATACTTAAATATGTGTCATCAATATGAATCAAGAAATATAGTTTCAAATCATATTGAGATTTAATTAAGCAAATTTTTATCACTGAATTTTTTGAATTAAAAAATTTCTTGATGATTCAATAGAAAGAGCTTTTTTGATAATTTCTGAATGCATATTTTTTAAATAAATCTCAAGCAAAATCTATATATACACTTCCTCTTTTATCCAAAATAAAATACATTGAAAAAATATTGTAAATAAAAATGTTATAATTTAAGTGTTATATATAATGGAATTTTAATTATAAATATCTAAATGAATAATTTTAAAAACATTGGAAATGTAAACTATGTGCTCTCTAAAATATATGTAAAAATTATCATTAAAATTTACATGTTTTGAAATTTATTGAAGATCAAAATCAAATTAACACGAGTTTGAATGAAATTATATGCATGAGATGTATATACACAATGGTTATATATTCATAACCACATGCCATCAAAATTTTGATATTTTGATGCATTCAAGATTTTGGATATTTTTCACGAGCTTCAATGAAACAAAGGTTTCATCAATCAAACTTGTCAAATTTATTTGCCATTATATTTAAAATTTAAAAATGTGCATTATTTTAAATGACAACCATGTTTGCAAATTTGTTGTGCAATATTTTTGAAACAAATTTAATGATGAAAACGATTTACTTCACATCTTGAATTTATCGTTATATTCTATCGATCTTTGCTAGGAATATTTTCACATGATGTTCAGAAGTATAACCTCATACAATAAGATGAAAAGATATTTATGATAACAAAATTTCAAAAAATATGATATTACTATTCTAATCATTTTGTTTTCACAAACATTTAACATTCTGTATTCAAGGTTTAAAAGTAAGAATAACGTTGAAATGATTATGCTATATTAAGCAACACTATGTGTTGTGAACTATATCTATAAATAAATTTACATATTCATCGTGAATTGTGTCTGTTCAAATCGTGTCTATACATGAAGAAACTATCAATGCCTTATTAAATACAAATGTTCAAATTTTATGTTAATTATCATAAAAATATATACATTATATGATAGTTAGCATGAAAAATATAGATTTTAAAAATATTTAAATATAAAAATATTATTATAAAAAATAATCATGTTGTATGTTATAAAAAAGATTTCAATGTGATCTTTCATCAATATTAAGGATTTTCCAAAAATTATATATTTACTATTTTTTAAATTCAATCATTCACACATGTTTATGATGCTTGACATGATAAGCACCTAATTTTTTTCTTCATACCTTTCTATTTTTTCAAAATTATGTTTGAAGATATAATACTGACAGTAGTTTTTACTACGACACATATATATCGATGTCTAACATGAAGTTATTGATTTATTTTAGTATAAATATGAGAATCAAGTTGTATAAATATCGATTATTGAAACATTTGTATATCAATATTCCATATAAGTATCTTTTGCATTTTAAGAAATATTTTTTCAAATAAAAGTACACAACAATTCAAACATTTCATGGATGAGAACGACTGGGTTTGTGCAGCTACTTTTGATTGCGCCAAGTGATAGGAAGTACATTCTTCCACCTTTCTTCTTCTTTATAGACATTTAATTTAGTGAATGTTTAATTATTATATATAGTTATGTTTGGCTAATTATCATTCACCTTAGCTATGTGATTGTCAAAATTTTTCCTATGTTTAAAATAGTTATGACACATATTCTTCGCGGAACCGTAAAAGTGAAGAATTGCACATTAACCTAAGGTGAGTGATAATTACCCAAACTGAATTATAACTAGCCACTGTTTTAATTTATTCAAAGTGTTTTATATATTATAAAATAAAAAAAATCATTGAAGAATAAAAAAATCTTGTTACAAAGGTGGAAGATATTTGTGTCATCTCGGAGGCGGCGGAGGAACATCGACGGCCAGGTTCGAGCGACCTTTCGAAGAATGACATGAATTCAACGAAAGGTTCGTGTAGAAAAAAATTGAGAAGCAGAGAGACTCTACGGTGGGGTTCGTGTGGGATCTATCCGTATCAATGCGAAGAAGAATCACTACAGGATCTTTATTCCTCGAGTCTCTTCGATATTCTGTATACTTGTACTTTTACAGCGATGGACGGTTGGTTTCTCGAAGCACACTACGGATTGGTGTAGGTCCGGGTGAGGGATCGTGCTTCCCTCCACTCGGCACAAACTACAAGGTGCCCATCCTTCTCTTCGTGCCTTATTCGAAGTCGAGAAATCGTACTCATAGTAAGCGATGTTTCTTATCGAAACAGTGCAATTTGTTGAGATGCTAGGGAAAAGAACTCCATGCAAGAAAACATTGTAGTCAGTTCATGGGTTCATTTTTTACCTGCATGGAGTCCATGGGTTCATACCTTTTGGGGTCCAGCGCATTGCATTGCAGAGCATAATTTTTTGGCTTATGTGATCCGAAAGAAACTGTCGAGGATGTACCTGCATTCGTGTGAGAGCCTCTTTCTTCAGTTCTCATCAGCCGAGTATGTCATAAGTCCCGAGGCTCAACAAGACGAGAATTGTCCAGATTACTCTATTGCGAAAAGTACGTTCCGTGCATCCAAAGGTAAGATCAAATCACTTCCTTCAGAAATACTGTACCATTGACGGTTTCCCCCCTGACCTCATGAAGTAACCCAAACGAGTGACTCGTAATAACATGCAAAAATAACGTGGGGACTCACAGAGTTTATATAATTATAAATATGTACATGGCAGGCGCTTTGTTTCGTTTTGGAACCAGGATGAGTGGGGTAAGAAGGGGGCGAGTCGAGATGATTCTTTGATACGCCTTGCATGAATCAACAGGTGACGGTCAGTATATGCCGCATGCATCCCTTTCAATTGACATAGCTAGGAGTGACAAGAACATTGAGTTGTAGGTAAAAAGCTTCACGATTACCTCAAATGCATGTCCTCTTTGGAGTTCGATCAGGGCGAGTCGCTCGGAAGTAATTCTGTCCAAGAAGATAGAATCAGATCACGGATGCTTCCATTGGTCTTGCATTCTGGAGAATCTGGATCAATCAAAAGCTCGCAGTATCGTTCTGCATACGAAAGTGATCTCAGGTTTTTAACCTAACTTTCTGCTCTCTCCCACAGAACTTTATCTGAAGAGTGAGGACAAGTTATGACATCTGTGCAACGGCCATGGCAAGAAAACGTGTGTTAGTGTTGCTCGTTCGAAGACGCTAGAAGTTGAGGATGTTGTTTGAGATCCTCCACTTCTAGCGTCTCTAAACTTACACAAGGAATATGTCTGCGACCAGTTGAATAACTTCCTTTTGAAAGATCCACACAATTGACTCGGTATCCCATTCTCTCTTTGCGATTTACTTGCCCCCTCCAAAGCAATCTGAAATTCCGTAGCGTTTAATTGGTACACACCAGCCCGATCATGTCTTTTGATAGATGGTGGCCAACCCCATAATATCCCTGACCAAGGTATATGTCAGAACACAGCAAATTTTCATTCACAGCTCAAGTCTACTTATGGATTCTAGATGAAATCCCCGAAATATCAGAAGATCTGTATTGAACTACTTTACCCAGGTCATGGGGAATGGTCTTGTGTAGAGAAGATGACAATGCGCAGCATTGAAAAAAAATACTTATATAATGTAAATTCTTTCATAAGCTTCTATTATGATGAACAGAGAAAAAAAAAAGGCCTGTGATAAAGATCTTGTTGAGGTCTCCTCTTAAGTTTATAAAAAGTATGTGGTTTGATAGATTTTTGAAAATTTAGATTTTGAAACGTGTTCTAAAAATGTTGTCTGAAAAAGGAGAACAACATGAATTGACAATCATGTTGTTCTCTACAAATTGCTCATCAATGTCATTATGTTCAATCAATTTCTTGAAAAAACAGGTCAAATTCTGAATTCGGAAGTTCCAAGAAAATTAGAATAAGGATATTCTGATCGGAATGTGTTTATCAAATCATAAAATATTTATGATTTTAAGAATATTCATATGAAGTCAAAAGATGAGAATGTTGGATTAAGAAAATATATAATTTGGAATGCTGACTTGGATCGAAAATATTATTATACAGTAATCTAGAATACAATCAGAATTTAACTTTTATATTTTTGTAGAATATACTTTTAAATTTTATGAGGATTCAAATTTGAATCAGATATACAATAACGTTATAAAGATTAGCATAAAATTTGTAATTAAATATGCACAAATATCATCTCATATATTTAACTATTTTTCCAAAAAAAGAGATTTTCATAAAAAAGAGATTTTCACTGGACTCACGACAAATTCTATAAAGTTTTGATCTTATTAAAAACTAACATGTTGATCAATATTTTCAATTCTAACAAGTCTCAAATATTATCATAACAACAAATTAGAAATCTTGATTTTCATATCTATAAGTAAAATTTTTCAACTGGAAATGATTTATTGTAAGATCAATTATATATATAACTCAATTTAAAATGAAACTGATCCAAGTATAAAATACTAATTTATAAGTAAATCTGCCAGTCATATTCTCATCTTGCAAAATCATCTACGGCTTGATCCAAATATATATAGAATAAATTTCAGCCAGTATTAAATGTAAAGTATTGTTCACAGTCTGATTTGTTGAAAATTTAAATAGTTGTGATTTTCTACTAAATACAGTTGAAAATTTGTTCACAAGATGTTTAAAAATTAAAAACAATTTCAAAATTAATTGACGCAAAGATATAAATTTATAAATTTGCAAATTTCCTATCATATTTACTTAATTAAACAAGAGATGTACACTACACTCATAACGCTATAAATGAAGAAAATTACTATGAACTCTATTTGATTCAGAATTTTGAAGCATAAATATTTGAGGATGAATTGAATAATTTTCAGTGATGATTTATTCCACTTCTACGATTGATTTGGACCAATATCTTAGCAAAGTCTTCATAGTACGGAAAGTATTAAAGTATGTAACTTGAATATGACCAAACAAAAAATAATTAACCATAACGCAAGTCGCATTTATGGAGAAGCACAACTTTTATAAGAAGTTTACGGTGACGCAAATTTGCAAACCCGCTACCTTTGGACCCTCCCTTGCCACACAAACTCCCGTTAAAAAATTTTATATATATCACCAGCATAAGGATAACACATCCTTGAGGATTAAGGGCATCAGGTACAAATATGTAACACACTACATATTTGGACTACTTTTTGATGTGCCCATACGATGACCCAACATAGAACATGGTCAATGCAGTTCCGACACATTAACTACTGTTGCACCTTCACGTGATATGACCTAGTAAAAAGATTTACTGTTACAAATTAAACACTAGGAATTATTTTTGATTCAACAGATTTTGATCGTGCCTTATTATACGTAGAAATGATTTTATAATTTAACACATGTAATTTGAAAGTTTGTATAAAAAATCTGATTTCAGTCAAATTTTATGCTAAAATTTTCATTTGGAGTTACTATAATCGAAGAAAGACGATAGACGGAACAAGCTGATCACAGACGGTGGGAAATCCAGCTTGTTGCATGATGAGGAATGTTCTCCATGAGCGCCACCAAGTGGAAGGCAAATCATGCTCCAAATTTCAGAGAGAGCAGAATCTAAAGTTTGATGTCACGGGGTATCAAGCTTTAGGCCTCGTCGACAGGTCTTGTAAAGCGCTCCCAAAGACACGTTCGGCCACAATAGCCATGAAAGCTCGAGAATCTTCCTCCGGGCCGTCACGTAATAAATCTAAAGATCGTCATTGAGTCATGGTGGCAGATGCTACCGTCGCGAATTAATCAATTGGTTCTCGTCATGTCGACGAAGTCTGCGCACAAAGATTGATTGCGGTGGCTCAGGTCCGCGGGAAAGGAATCGGGGAAGCACAATCCATCATAACATCGAAGATGCATATCTTGAAGCCTGATCTAGACTCCCGTGGCTTGCCGATCTCGTTCGCCGAGTTATTTCACTGGGTCAGTAACCCAGAGCTTTTTCGAAACTGGTGTTCCATCCTTGGGGGACATGCACTCGAGGAGAGGTGTGATGAATAGCTGCTGCTGCTGCTTTTGGACCTCCAATCGAAAGGTTTCCAATCCGGGATACGGTGTGTGGAGAAGTTTATTATTACAGTATATGGGATCGAGCGGTTTGTCTCGTGATTGAGGTGGATAAGATTTCAATTGGGTAGAGTGAGATATGAGATCTTGATTATATGATAGTGTTTAACACGTTGTACAACATGTTAAACACTTATGTATGCACTTTATAGCTCTATGAGTGGCAATGAAGCCACTCATAGAGCTTTATCATGGCAATAGTGTCATTAATTATTTCTCTTACATTGAAAGGAAAAGATGCACATATAATATTGAGATCTTTCACTTTCTGGATGACGCCAACTATTTAGTTTTCTTACATGATACTTCACAGTGAAACTATTGGGTCGTGGGAGTGATTAGTATTTCACTTCAATATCATTTGAATCTTTTGAAGACGAGGTTTCTTTAGATGCTAATACCATAGTTTTCCTAGAGTGCGTCATGACAAGACTAGACAAACTGTGTGTATACACTACATGAATTTACCCAACTTTTTTATATGATTTTATAGATAAGTGTTTTTGATACAAAAATGAATACTAAATCTTGTAGTTTTGGATAAGAAGACTGAATAAGATTGCAAGAAAATTTGATAAAGAAGCACACATTAGCTGCCAGGTTCAACCACATGATAATATGGATTACAACTTTTTTGTAAGTTGGAATGTGGTTTCAAGAAATTTGAAACTTGAAAATATACTATATCCAAAGATTGTAATCTTTTTTTAGTTTACACGATGTTTTTCAATATTATTTTCAAAAGTAATGATATTCAGAATATTTTGAAATTCTCACATCAAAATTTTTTTACACTAAAAATTAGACCATTCATGAAATTCATCAAGTTTAAACTATTTTTTTAAACTAATAAAATTTTTTCCATTGAAAAATTTCCTTCAAGAATTGAATTTTATTGTGCGGATCAATTCTGAAATTTTAAAATCAATAGATCACCAAAAAAATAATATGCCAAATACCTTTGAAATATCAAGATTAATAATGAATTTTTTTTTTATAAGACACATGCGTTTTCATCATAAAGAAAAAAGATATTGTATTTCTCTCATTTTTATTTCCTCTGATTATGTATGATGTCTTGCACGATTCAAAAACAAAAGGGTTGACTTAAAATCGTATATATTTAAAAATTTCAAATTGATGTATATCAAGTAGTCACACTATGCCATCATCTTTAGCTTTTTAACGACTCTTATATACATTGAATTTACTTCATTCTTCATGTATCATTTACTTTTGGAATTCACAAGAAAGGAATTTTTTTTCAGATTATGATTGTCCATATGCTGTAATTATATGTAGATAATTTAAATAGAAAATAATTATGCCTATCACTTTGATAATAAGAAAACATCTATCTTTCTCCATCTAGTCGCATGGTTTGGCTGATTCTTATCACTCAGTTCCCTGCCCAATGTGCATGTTTGCTGAGAAGCTGACCTAGAATTCGTGTGAGCGCTTTCCTCAGGGACCAAAACAAATGTTCAAGAAGCAGCCGTCAACGCACAAAAATCCTGTCATCAAAACCAATCATCACTAGGCAATCTCACGACAGCATTTCATCTCGCTCACAGGAACCCGTGGGCCAAATCTGAGCATCAATCCGTCGCAGCTCCACATGCACACTACGCATTTCCCTTTAGCACAAAAGCGACGAAAACTCGAAGGGGAACTCTAAAGCAAAAGAAAGGCGCCTTCGATTTTAGGCATATGGCAATCAGAATCCGCTTCGAGCTTGGGGTAACACAAAATGGCCATTTGTCACATGGAGCCTGCTCTTCGGGGAAAAGCAGGCGAGCAGTCCACTGACATGATTGCCATTCCGCACGTACACCTGTGATCGTGCTAGCCATTCAAACTCGTCGGAGGATTGATTATCATCTCGATCTAATTATCATAGTCGACTCCAAGTCGGTGGAATCTACCTCAAAACCGCATGAGGAGCCAGCGGTGCCAACGGCCATCCAGCAACCTGGTAGGGGCGAACCCCGACCAAGTGTACAACGCAGTTCATTAGTCGCATGACTGTCCGTCCAAGGGGTAAAGATGAGGAGGAAGGACACCGTGGGTCGGAGCAGCAACCTTTGAGTCGAAGCAAAACACGGTGTCAAACCCCGAAGACGAAAGATCTCCTCACTGAGGTCATCATCATCTACCACGGTCGTCTCTTTACCAGATCCGGGATGATTAGCTGAAGTAAACCCTCGGAGGAACCGGGGTTGGCGACTAAATCACAGGTCGGACTACGAGGGGCGTGGGCCCCACGCCGTGGGGCCCCTCTTCATTTTCGCCATTTTCACATTCCAATGAAATGGTTTGCATGTTGCATGTTGGTGACGAAGTGGTGCCTACATAATGTCCTACGCCGTCAGAGGCTGACAGCGTGACCACGAAGCACTGCTAGGACTGAACCGGGTAGGTACACCGAGGTTTAGACTTCGAAAATGTCAAAATATATATCAACAATACCGTAAACCGTAATTACTGATTCCCAAATAATATTTGGCTTACGCCTGGCCAGTTGGCAAGGCGAGGGCCAGTGTCGACGG